TTGAAGAAATTCGATTTTTTCGCTATTTCCAAGTCTAGTTGATATTTAGGCGAAGCTGCTCTTAAATGCATATGATTGGTGGAGCACAAAGAACTCAGGAAGTAGCTATATTTTCCGGAAAACCATCCCCTATTTCACACACTATTCAACTATTCACCGATTGATCATTGTTAAAAGAGCTTTGTTCCATCACCGCATGCCTATGTATAAAAAAGTTCATGAAAAGCTATTACAAGGCTTTTAAGTCGCGGACATTCTCACCATTCTTGCAAGCATGGCTGTTTCTGTAGCTATTTTTAAAAACGCGCTGCGATTTATGTCCGTCCGAATTTAATACCACTACTACATACGGCTTGCTTCAAGAATTAGAAGAGGGCGAAGGTCTTCAAGCTACAAACAAACAGTGGGTAAGTGGCATTGTGGACAGTATTAATTCCTGTCTACATCCAAAGGCCGCCGGTGAGTATGCTTGCATTTACTTCCCCTCTATTTCTCCAGTCTTTACAACGGAATCGAAAAATTTCTGTGTGGCAATGGAGTGGTTAGTTCCTCAGTACGGAGTAAACAACTATTGTGTTTTGTGCAAGGTCAAGGCCAAAAAAGAGAACAAAAACATACAACAAAGAACTTTGTCGATCTTCATAACCATTCCCCTCTATTAACTATGGGATCAAAAAAAGATAATTGATTTCGGCCGTGTGATAACTGAGATCTCTCGCCTCACTGTGACAAGCCGCGGCTTTATTTTACGCATCCTGGTGAGAATTTTTTTCTTGGGCAAAGCTCCTCATGTTGCCCTTAAAAGGATCTGACCCCACAATCAAACCTAGTTCATGCTGATGTGCCAAGCCACCTACGTTTTATCGAAGTTTACAAGTCAGTATAAAACTATAGTCTTTGATGAAGGCACATATGAAACTGTACTGGCCGCATTTTGCTCACAACAAGTAAGACCCAAAAGAAAGCGGAAGTTTCAGTTTTGGGTGATGACCATTGCGGAGTGAAAGTGAAAGTTGAATGCTCAACGAGCATGAATATTTCATAATATGCACAGCTGAAACTATCAATTAAATCTGTTATTGCCGGCGTGTTCGTGGCATTGACATCGATTTTAGGCTCGATTTCCGCCGCTCTCTCGAGTCCTATCCACGTTCCTCTCGATTTCAGTCCCTACCAACTTGTACATGAGGTATCAGCACTTGCCGCAATCTCCATTCGTTCGGGTTTATCGAGTAGTAACAAAACATTGTACTACTGTTGCATATTCAGCGGTCCTCGCTGAACTTTGTTTTCTTTGAACAATTCCGAATTTGGCTGAATAGGTTTTCAAGGTTAAACATATCGGGAAAATAGCTCTGTTAACGTTACTTGGAAAAGTGACGTTGATAACCTGAATCGCGCAAATTGAAGATAAAACACCATCGATCATCAAGTAATTTATTTTCTTGAAGTTTTATTCACCCAAACGTATAAAGGTTAGTAAGCGGTCGATGACAAGTTGTAAACAAATTCGCTCATTCCAAAGTGCATGCCAAATTCATTTAAAGCGGAGCCCCATACTCATATAGGAAAGAAAAGGAAACCCATGAGTTGATTTTCTCATGGTTATCATGGCTAGCGGTATTGCTCGTGGGCGCGTACGCACGACGGCGACGACGACGACGACGGAGTCGCGTAACATGGCGGCCATACTCCAAATAATAGGTTGACAGAGATATGCAGCCTTGATTTACCGTGTACTTCTTTGATATTGGACATCCAAGTTATAATCAATTGACACCTGTCAAAACAAGGTATCCGCTGACCAGTATCACGTGATCATATTGCGGGCTCAAGTTCACAGCTCCTCGAGGTCGAGTGTTTTTTAAAGGTGACCGCTGACCAAGTGTTGGTTTTCGATTGGATCGCGGGCTCATCCCAGGTTAACTTGTTGAAAACAGGGCAGGATTTTTCGGAAGGCGGTTAACGCTAACCCAGGATTAAAAGTTAACCGAATTATAACTTTTCCTTCTGTACAAAATGTTTTTTTGCTGCTTTGTTTTGTGTATATAGTGATTATTAAAACTCAAAACAGAAGGCCAAACAATATACAGAAACCCTCAACGCAAAGTTACAAAACTCAAATCAAAATTTTACCTTTTCCNTTTGCTGCTTTGTTTTGTGTATATAGTGATTATTAAAACTCAAAACAGAAGGCCAAACAATATACAGAAACCCTCAACGCAAAGTTACAAAACTCAAATCAAAATTTTACCTTTTCCTGGGTTAGCTTAATTTGGCTCTGAGCAACCCGGCCCAGGAGCTACGCTTTTAGGCTGGCCTAAATCTATATATTATCGATAACTTAAAAGAGCTCGCTTAAGTTCAATTCCAAGAAAGATAGCGTATGAATGTAAATCTACGAAGCTGAATGAATCTCAAAACCCGGTACCTGCTGACAGTTTCAGTTTTAGAATGAAACGTAATCCGAGTGTGTTCACTGTGTCAGAGCATTTTGAAAACAAATGGCAAAACTAAGAGGGGAAAATGTAATACCTAAAATACGAATCACGTATCTTCAGTTGAGTTCGAGAAACATTTCCTCGAGTTTTTTTCTGGAAAAAATGCCACAAAGATGCGTTGCAAGGACAACAAAATGAAAAGTAGGGATAGGTTGACTAAAATTGATCAGATTGTAGGAATGGTCTCCTTTATTTTTTTTATGTACATAATCAAGTCAGCTCCGCTGTTAGTTTTTACCCAGTTTAAGGTGGCTCGTAACAGTTTCTAACACTTTCCAACACGTAGATTTTGATGGATCATTATTACCAATCTTTATCTCTTTATCAGTTGATGCTACAACCATGGTATCAAAAGAACTGCCCAATCATTGATGAACACGTTGCTATCATTTTCGTGACACTATATGTTACCTGCTAAAAGCTCCCTTTATTTTAGCTTTGCGAAAATGTAAGGTGGCTCTCAGACCCATATGAGAATTTTTTTAAACTTTACTGAAAGTTGCATATTATCCTGCCTATCAAATTTCGATAATAAAAAAAGGGTTTCGTGGTGTCGTTTCTAAAACATAAGTATTTA